GTTGAATTATTATTGCTACTGCAGATAAATTTAGTATTCTTGCCTAGTCCTTTAACAAATAATCTATTGGAGTAATTAATAGATAAATTATATAATGATAGAGAAACGCAAATGAAATTCCTATAAATTGCAAGGAGCAGGTTAGGATACATAGAGAGAGGACAGAGAGTAGGATAAATGTGAGACTGATGAGCGGTATCCACACTGCTTGTGGTTGGAGGAAGTTCATAGTAGGAGAAGCAATATTGGAAGTTTGTCCTTTCAACTTAGTCCACATCTGTCCTTTGATCATTCGTTAGGATGCACTGTGCCGTATCATGCAAAATCTTGTATGAGGTTGTTAATTAAGATTGGCATTAGATCAGGGACAGGACATTGGCCATAGTGTGTGACCCATGCATTGAACTGAACTATTGGTTTTATATTGTTCGAAATATGATGAAAGCTAAATTATTAATTTTGTAGGGAAGTTAATAAAGTATCTCTTGACTGAACCGAAATGAAGGAGAATGACAGCAAAACACAAGCAAAACCTATTGAACGAAGAAGACTCCTTAGGCCAACTGGTAAAAAGAAAAAGCTTAAATTAGACCCATCCACACATCTATCACGATGACAGGCAGTATAATCAGGAACAGAACCAAGAAATCAGAATCATATCTAGAAAAACCACCATTATACACATGAAAAATTCTGGGCAAAATAAATCAATTATCATGGGAGTCATGCTTCCCTCGCCATTGCTCCACACATGCATTGACCAGCAAAATAATCTAAAAGAATATTGACAGCAGTAACATAGCACCAAACTCCTCCAAAGACATCAATTTCATTGAAGACAAAACAGAAAAGTCAAGGCATGCCACTTTTTTGTAATTAATGTATAATAAGAACTAAATTAACCGTTCCTTCAACAACCAAATTTACTAGCTGAAACCACACAGAATTCTTGTTTGCAGACAAGAAGAATAGCAAGTAGAATGGCTCCATCATTCTTATTACAACTTATATCACCTTAAAAAACACCATCAACACATCCACTTCTGTTTATTAAAACTAAACCAATACCCAAACCACCTATAATCAGTTTTCACATCCCAGCACTAGGACTCAACAATAGCACACCCTCTTCAATCATTAGCCATTCCCCAAAATAAAGAAGATAATAACACTAGAAGAAAAAAAAATAAAACTAAATAATAACATTAATAAACTTAGAATTCAGTGATTGAATTCTTCTACCCAGGGAGACTATGCTCTCCACATATGGACTCACAGGCCACAAATCCAGAAAGGGATTGCCAATTTCTGCAACCTTCTTAACTGATTGGTCACCGGGGTCATACAGAACATATTCATGTCTTGAATGCCAAAAAATCAAAAGTTTTCTGTTTCCAATAAAACAGACTGGAGTTATCGCATCGCCGTTCAACGGATCATCTAAAGCGGTGTTGAAGTTGCCATCAATACTACTAACACTGAACAATTTAATCCAAGGTTTGGTACTGTTCACCACATTTTCCTCCATCATCCACACGTCATAGATAACTTCGTCGTCAGTCACCATCAGACAAAGAGACTCTCCTAAAAGATCCAAGCCAATAAACGCTTTGGATTCATTGGTGGATAGTACCCAGCTTGCAGATTCCTCTTCTCTCAGTCTATCTGTGCTCAAATCAAAACTTACAATTCCACAATTAGATCGTCCTTCACGACTAATAAGCCAGTAAATGCAGCCATTGAGATGTTTCCACTCTGCAACAAATTCTGACCACATTGAGTAGTTTTCCATAAATCCGTCTTCAGGCTTAAGCTCTGGATCTTACCTTGTTTCTTTGCAAATGAAAGAGTTGTGGCTGTTACGAGCTTGTAATCATTGCTTATCGAATTGTAACCAAACGCGAATAGTTGAATATCCGTTAGACAACGTTGCGGCATAGGACATCTTCTATGTTCCATGCTTAAAGGGTTCCAAAAAATGATGCTGCTACTGTTGGTTTCATTGGAATATAAGTGCGCAGACACAAGGCCGTTGCAGTGCCCTAAGAAGCCCAAAATTTTCTCGGAGGGCAGCACCTGGAGGTGGTTGGTTGCGAGGAGTCGAAAGCGAATCCCATCAACGTTGTCCTCTAGAGTGCCGATGGCAAAGTTTGTATCTTCAATGCCCTGAACAATAAAGTCCTGGGGAGTGCGTATTGAAATCTGGATTTTGAGATGTCTTGTGATGAATTGTTCATTGGAAAGTAAAAAAAACCACTGCTTGGATACACATCTGAATCGAAGCAGAGACTTGACACCAAGCCTTAAAAGAATTACATCCGTAGGGAATTGGGTTTTCTTCGCCCTATCTGAATTACGATCAGTTCGGCAATGCCGGAGTCTTCTGTCAACCAAGGAAGGAGAATTGTAGATGGTTGTGCCCATTTCTGAAGTAAAATTGGTTCGGCGTTGTTTAATTTTAGGATTAGGGTTTGGGGGAGTTGCAGGTTCTTTTCTGCTTGTCGACGGGGAGAAGGGGTTGCCGTTGCCAGCAGACATCTTGGTAGTGGGTTCGAACTCGGAAATCTAAAGTCAAGAGAGTTGGAGAATCCATTCACGTGTGCTTCTATTTTTATACAACGAAAAAAAACAGCTATTTTCTCTAATTTAAACGCTCTTATTTTCTCTAATTTTCTGTTTTTGCCATGTGTGTACCGAATGAAAAGAGATAATAATACTGTCTCTGTTTATTTTAAATAATTTTAATTTAATTTTT